ATTCCCCCAGAGGAGCTGGAGGAAGTGTCTGGAGAGAGGGAAGTCTGGGCATCTTTGATTAGACTGCTGCCCCCACGACCCGGTCCCGGATAAGCGGAGGGAAATGGATGGATAGATGGATGGATTCCCGACAAGTGGAAATGAGAAATACCAACAATTAGTCCCAAAATGTCCAAGAAGAGAAAAGTTGATGCAGAAGGAAGGCAATTTAACAAAAGGTAGGAAAGTGAATATATGTTTGTGCTTTGAGGAGAAAAACTGGTGTCTTTTGTGTCATGAGGCAGTGTCGGCGGTGAAGGGGTAAAATATGCATCGTCATTTTGAGACCAAACACGGAGCTAAGTATGCTAAACTTAGCATAAAAAATGGTCACAGAATTAAAATTTTCACCCAAAACTTGTCCAATGTAGTTTTGAACTGAGACAACCCTTACTGTTATTTTGAGTTAATGACATATCCTACTTTCCCAGCTAGGAATTTTGTGTTACAAGAACGTTCCCATTATGTTATTACATTATTAGCTATTAATAAATGTTCTGTGAACGTTCCTTCCTAGCTGAGTTATATGTGTAGCAATATTCTTATTTTGCTTAATGTTATTGTTGAAGAAAATATTTTGAATTGAATTTTTCAAATTTATTTTATTGAGGAAAAATTTGTTGAAAAAGTTTGTCCAGATTCATATTTCTAATTAAACTATTGCCAGTTTTAGACTGTTCAATAAATGTTTATCCTGTTTGGCTGCAACTTAGTCTGTGGTTTCATTTCGGCCCCTTGTGTGATTGAGTTTGACACCATGATTTTGGCCTCTCTGCATGTCCAGTGATTGTATTAAACACCCACTGGATGAATAAAATGTGCGGTGCTCAAGTTGAAAGCAGTGCTGTTTCTGTGGTCCTGATAACCCTGGATAATTTGGAGATACAAGGTTTCACTCCTCAGCATCAGTGAGCTCTCATCCAGCTGTTTAACAATTCTACAGTTTTACACTCAGGCTAAGAAATATAGAACAATCCAGCTCCTGCTGTGACTGATATTGTCCTCAGTGCAGTCTCTGCTGTCTGAACCACTCAGCTGTGGTTTTCACTCTGCAGAAGAGTTTGGATGCTTCTTTCCAACTACTTTTATGATTGGAATCACAAAAATTATTATACTCAGTCTAGGAGAGATGTTCCTGTACCATGCTGCTGTTATGAGACCAGAGTGACACAGAACCTGTAACTTAGCAATAAAACTTCTCTCCAGCTGGAAAGTGGTGTTTATCTCAGGTCAGACAAAAGTGATACTCTAACATCTGGTTTTCTTCTTCTTAAGCTGGGTATCATTCAAGGTAACTGTTGTGGTACTTTATCCAACACTTTTTTAGGCTTTTTTGTTTGAGCCTATTGATTTTGTGGCTCTGAATGGATGTTGCTGGGAGGTTACAAACGAGTGTGCGTTCTTGAATGTAATATTTTTTAGGAGTTGATGGAAATTATTGAATCACATTGTTTCTGTACCTGTTGGACTGAGAAATTTACATTTCCACAGATTTACAGGAACTTTTAAAAAGTGATGAGGAACTTGAACTTGTTTGTCCTGATGTTGGTTGTAGCGTTTTCTCTACACAAACTATAAACAAGTGTGTGACCTTCAAGTGAAAAACACATAGTGCACTACATGGTTTCCCACATCATTCTGACTTGAATTTTCTTTGTCATATTATTATGTCTGCTGCTATCTGTAGTTTGTTTTCATCAAAGTCAAAGCCACAGAACCTGGACAACAGATATGACGAATTGTCCCGATCCCAATGAGCGTATGTCACAGAGAGCATCTTTTATTTTTTGATAAAGCATTACATACAGCAATTAAATGTTTTTTTTTTTTCTGTTTTCTTGTTGGTTGACAGAGGTGTGCGACGGCCCGCTGGTGTCCAATCTGCCTCCATCGTCGTTCAGGAGCTCCTCCCAGCTGTCCAGCAGCCATGCACCGGGCTTTGCCAAACTCAACAGGAGAGATGGTGAGGAAGAGCCTCTGTGGATATATAACCGGACAGACACCACACTATTATCATTAATGCTGGCAGTGTATTAGGACTTGGCATGGTGTTTATACTGCTTGTGTATATATACTCTAAGAGGAAATATGATCTTCTCCTTTAATTCAGCAAAATGTCAGGTTTACCTGAGACAGTAGACAGTAAGCAGCTCAACCCAGTCTTTCCTCTGTTACTGAGATGTTAATCTGCAGCACACAACGCACAACAATCACGAAAGGTTTTGCTGGATTCACAGAGACTTACATTTAATTCACCAGTGACTAGTTCAGAGTCTGACAGGATCAGAATCATCTCTGACAGACTAGACAATCTGCAAGAGAGAACAAGCAATAGTGTTTTTATTCTGTATAGGTGCTGTTTGTATTAGAGATTTATGTCAGACAGATAAATGTGGACAGTGCTTTTCCATCCAGCATGAGAACCCAGCGGGGAGTCCTGTGCTGGATGAGGATGTGAGGTTCTGTCAAAATGGCGATCATGGTTTGTTGTGGAGCTTTCTGCAGGGAGCGGGCTTTGCTGCTTTATCCTAACATCAAAACCCAGAATCAGCTGGGAGGGTGAGATGAGTTTAAACTGGATCCGAATGATTTTCACCACCTGGGGAACAAAAGAAAGCAGAGCGTGCAGAATGCTGTTCAGTCCTCCTTTGGTTTGATGCTCGAGACCTTAAACAAACAGTGTCTTTGTCGCTGAATGCTGCCAGTCTGCTCTCTTTATTTGCTGATCTGACTTTGATTTTTGGGTAACAGAGGACTAACAAGACTATGAGTACACCATAAATATATTGGGGTAATAATACCTCCAATTGTGTTTGTACAATATACACACACAAATATATAATATTAGAGCATAAAACTAAAGCTAAATTTGACACCCAACCAAAAGTGCATAATTACATGCTGTCGGTAGTGAAAAGTTGCACTGAGACTGTTGGTCAGGTGGTAGAGAAAAGTTTCCATTTTTGCCCTTTGCTGGTCTGCAGCCACCCCGCTGTAATGCTGCTGACATTTCTTGGTCTCTCATTAACTGTTACAAGGCAAGGCAGGTTGAAAATATCTTTCTGCTTTTCTGTGCACACGCACATGTAACAAAGCATATCATTGTTCATCTAGGCATGCTCTGTAAAATGCAAAAAAACAAACAAAAAAAAAAGCTGTAGTAACTGTAGAAGGAGAAAGGGCTTTTTTTTTTACATTTAATTTACTAATATTCTGTGGTTGTGTTATTTTTAAAAAGTTAAAAAAATGTTCTACAAATAATCCAGATACAATGCACAGGAGTTCAAACTATGGCACTTTCAGAGGGTTGGAGTTAATGTGTTAAAGATAATGAATAAAAAAGGCACATTACACTAGATTATCACAAATTAACTGGCATGTAATAGGCAGCAGATTGTCAATATACATGATAACCCAGCTGGATTTTTGCTTTGTGGCTTAACAGTCGCTTCACAGCTTTATGTATTCGCCTAATCTAACTCTAATATGTAGTCTGTAGATTAAGAAAGCCATGTGTGGCCCATTTCCTCAGCAGCATTCATAGTGCACAATCCCAGGGAGTGATCTAGCTGCACACCGAGGAAATCGATGAATAACTGAATGTCTCCATCTCATTTCCATCTCCTGCTGCTGCTGCTAACAACACTCTGCCTCCTCCAGTTGTTCTCAGAGCAGCAGCTTCATTTAAGGGAACAGAAATTATTCTTTACAAGGGGATTTAATCAGACAGTCAGTCCTACAGCTGGAATCTTAACACATTCTTTGTTGTTAGTTCACTATGTATGTGAAAACCTTGACCTACAGGTGGCACTAGAGGAAGTTGGATATCCATCCATCTGTTATCTATAGTGCTTATCCTGTAGAGGGTCATGAGGGGCTGGAGTCAATCCCAGCTGACACTGGGCGAGAGGTGGGGTACACCCCGGACAGGTCATCAGTCTGTCACAGGTCTGACACATAAAGACAAACAACCTTTCACACCTAGTGGCAATTTAGAGTCACCAATCAACCTAAGATGCATGCCTTTGGACTGTGGGAGGAAGCCGGAGCACCCGGAGAGAACCCACACAGGCACAGGGAGAACGTGCAAACTCGGCCATGAGGTTTGAGTCTAGAGCCTTCTTACTGTGAGGCAACAGTGCTAACCACTACATCGGGGGAGGTGACAGTGCGGTGGGTAGAGCAGTCGCCTCCCAACCAGAAGGTTGAAGGTTTGAGTCTCAGTGCCTGCAGTCCACGTGTCAAAGTGAAACCCCCAAGTTGCCCCTAATGGTTAGAGCCATCGGTTGAGTTGGCACCACAGATGGTTGTCTCGGTTCTGTACCGGAATCAAATTCCTTGTGTGTAACATACTTGGCCAATAAAGGTGAATATCCTTATCCTTGTGCCACCCCCCCATGGATATCAATCTTTCAAATTCCTGGAAATGCATTAAATAGCTGTAGAAATATCAGGGGATCAGCCAGTAGGCTCCATCTTCTGGAGACCATGAATGAACAAACTTTCACGGCAATCCATTGCATAGTTGTTAGTGTGGGCCACTGAACTTACTGTAGTGGTAGATGGACAGAGGCCTAGCACACAACAACCTCTTTTAACCTTTTTCCTCCATGGGCCTTTTACAGAATCCAGCAGCCGTCTCTGCAGTGAGACCGGAGGGCCGGGCATTATACTATTAGACTTTAACCTGATGAAGCAGATCACAGTTGAGGTCTGATGGCTTTGAGTCTGACACCAGGAGTGGATAAAAGGCCCTGACAGTCTATTGATTGGACATGAATGGTCATTTATCAGGCACCTGCTGGATGAATGACTCTGTTGGTTCAGTCTTCCCAGTTGTCTCTCTCTTATTCTTATTGATTTTTCACTTTTGCTTTTTATCTTTCATTTCTCTCATGCCTTTCATCCTCTTCTTGTCCTCTTGATGTCACATTTTCTTGCCTTTACCATCTTTCTCCACCTCCCCTCTTTCTTTATCTAAATTGCCCCTGCCCATCATGTCTTTCTATACAGTCTGTCTCTTGTTGTAATCATTAGTTTCACTCTCTGCGCTTCCTATTTTTGTGGTGGTGCAATGACCAGCACAAGCAGCACTTTAACAATTTGGTATTTTTCTGACCTTAAAGTTTGCTTTGCCCTTTTGTGTGATATTTTGTTGCCAAGTGCACAGGTGGGAGGAGAGGTGAGCACACAGCAAGTTGTTGGTATTTTAGTGGAAAATGTGTTTCAGAACCATGTGTGTTTCTGGTGCAACATCAGTCTGCTGCTGTTTGGTCATTTTATCAGCAAGAGTAAAATAAATACACAGAATAAGATTTAATCTAATCACTGCCCAGGCAGTAAATGTATTTAAATTGCCATAAAAGATAATTATTGTGTTTAAAATTTGTTTAATGGGAAAAACAATGTTGTTTCGCCTACTTTTAATGAGTAAAACCATGAACCTGTCTCTTAGTAAATGTTTGGAATATCAGTGGGACAGCCACAGCATCCACTTTTCATTTCTAGCTGAAATCAGACTGAATATCTTAGACTGACAAATCAAGAGCAGATACCTTGAAAAGGGTTAATAATATTCAGTATTTTGCCATTTGTGAATTGCCCATTTTGCAGTGACAATCTGAAAAATAGAAATCTTTCCTGCTTCACCTGCAGAGATCCCGCGGTGTTCCCCCGCCCGCTGCTCCTGTCAGAGCTACATTGAGCCCATTAGCTTCCTTTTGGACTCGGTGTTCGACTGACATGTTATCAGGCTGTTGAAATTACCCTCCAGACTTTGTATTCTCATGCAAATGACCTGGCGCTCAGAGCGGTCTGGCTGTTACATGTCTTTCCAGCGGCCTTTCTATCCCTTTCAGCTGTTTTACACCCTGTCTGCCTCTGTTTCTTTTCTTCCTCCCTGGCCTTTTTTCCACCCATCTCTCTGTCATTCAACCTGTCTGTGTCTCTGTAGCTGTCTGATGGAATATCAGTGCATTATTGATTATTTGTTATTTGTTTAGTTATCCAGCCATTTGTTCCTCACAGTGAAGTGGTGAGAACCGGCCAAACTATCTGAGCTGTTTGTATTTGGTTGCATCTCATATTATTTCACATTTAACCTTAGATAAACAAAAATGTTTTTTTTTAGGGGCTCAGTGCTGTTAACGCCAAGAAGCCATCTTTTGTGTCTTTTTAATGAGCTGGCTGTCAGCAGAGTAACGGGGCTATGTCTGTCAACCTTCTCATCGTCTTGAATGTGATGGGTAGTTTTGTTGTTTTCCCACTGAAAGAGGAGGAAGTGTAGCAGCTATAGAAGGCAAAGCTCGAGTGTTTTCACTGAGACCTCTTCTCAAGACAGTATTCACTTCAGTTCAGTTTTATTTGTATAGCACCAAAACACAACAAAAGTCATCTCAGGACACGTCACAAAGTAAAATCTAGACCTTACTATTATTATTATCATAAAGGAAAAACCCAACAAATCTCCTTTGAGCAACACTTGGCCACAGCGGGGAGGAAAAACTCCCTTTAACAGAAGAAACCTCCGACAGACCCCAGCTCTTGGTGGGCGGCCTTCTGCCTCGACCAGTTGGGTTGAGTGGATAGAGGAGAGAAAAGAAAAGCAACAAGATTTGTTAACTATCCTGTTTAATGGGCACCTAAAGAGATTCTCACTTGACTAACGTACAAATGATCATGAAGCTAAAGCAGCAGAGATGTACAATATTTATGCACAAATTTTAGGTGATACCAACGTAGTAGTGCAAATTACAGCAAGACAGCATGAGAGGAACTGTTTCTGACACCGCTGAAATTGTAATGACTGATTAGTGTAGCAAAATGATGGCCTCAGTTCAGAGAGGCAGGCTTTGGGACTGAAAGCTTTCCAGTTTGAGCCCCAGGATAAATCTGAGTATGGAAAGAGAAGAGGCAGCACTGAGGTGCCCTCCAGTTGCTCCAGTGAAGCTGCCCAATGGCCAACAGGCTCAGACTGTGTTTAGACTGGGCAGCTCTCAGGTGTGAGTGTATGAAACTGTCAGCGTGGTCAGAACCTAAGCTTGGCTCTCAGTGAAACTTTGCTGAACAAATAAAGACTGACAAAAAGCAGCTACTTATAAAACTTTTTATGTGATTTAAAAACAAAACAAAATACCAAA